CGGCTTGGCGGTCAAGTCGTAGAGTACCCGCGAGATTCCATCCAGCTTGGTTATGTCGCGCACCATTTGATTAAGGACCTATTAAAGAACAAGTATACAAATCAATCCTGTATTGCAGATCAAGAGTTCGAGTATGTAAAGATCCCACACTTACTTGCAATGGCAGTTGCACTGATCCAGGCACAGCCGGCACTCCAGTCATAAAATCGTTCGTTATGAAGGGACGCAGAACCACCGATCTTCTGCAGGAGGGCGTCCTATTGATGGGATCGCGATCAAAGTGCACGGGTATCAGAACGACAGGCATCTGTGAGATTTTCCTGTACAAGCCCGCTTGCATGATAATCTAAAAATATAAAATTATATAATATAATATAATATAATATAATCTAAAATCATATAATCCGGATATTATGGATTGTGGATTCTCGTACCTCATTTGCAATGGCATCGGCTTGCCGGAGCTGCGACAACACCACCGTATTGAGGGTTGTGTGCGTTATGTCCGTGACCAGATACTGAACGGGCTCCCCAAAGATATAGCATACCCTATTGACATTATGCAAAATACGCGGTATGATCTTTGCTAGGAAGAGCAGGTCCATCCAGTTGGGCTCTTGACTCGTAGACAGCCCCACCACGTAGCTGTAGCTGCGTTTGTCGCCTTGCACACCCACAGACCGGATGGGCAGCAGGGTAGCCTGGATCGTTGAGTTGGCAGAGATGCGCAGTAGCTCTATTTGTTCGGCCTCACTGGTGGCGCCCGTCACTCGATTTATGAGCGCATGGTTCTTCTGCAGTTTGTTTTTATAGTCCACAATAACACGCACAATTACCTATAAAAAAAATGCATTAGCTATTGTGATCGAGTGTTGATTGAGCGGCTGGTACTTGCCTGAGTCTCTGAATAGTCCTTCTCCATGTAAGCCTCCTCGGCACACAGAACGCGGATGGCCAGACCGGGACCTGGGAAGGGTTGTCGCTCGACTAGCTCTGGTGGCAGACCCAGATCATTGCCCAGATCTCGTACCTCATCCTTGTGAAAGTCGCACAAAGGCTCTACGACGCGTCCCGCATTGCGGAGTTCTCTGCAAAAAGGGTTTCCGATTGTTACGTGATGTTAAAGGATCAGGTGTAGAGATCTAACCTAATCAGATCCGTGTCATTGTGATGCGTTTTGATTGTTTCTGCATTCGTGCTGACCATATTCGATGCAGACTCAATTAGATCCGGCCTGAGGGTGCCCTGGGCGAGCATAACTTCTTCGGGTTTGAGTTTCAGAAAGGCCACCACATCGTTGGTCACCTTTACGAATATATCACCAATTATCTTGCGCTTCTCCTCGGGGTTGTAGGTCTGGCAGAGCATGGGCGTCTCAACGACCGAATACTGGCCGGGTCGCTTCACTTGCGTGGTGCCCTTGAGGAACGTATAGCATTCCTTTCGCACTATCAAATCGATGCCAATTTCGCGCAACGAACGCTCCACCTTTTCACTTTCGTTCTTGCGCATGAAACCTGTGCATTGGATAAATATATATTCCATTGAGTTTATCTTTTAAACGAATGATTATGCCTACCATTATCTACATGCACGGCAATTATTTGATTAGGGTATAGGGCACGGCGCAACAAGGCTGCACATACACTCGAATCCACACCGCCACTGACCAAGAGCTGCAAATAGCAAGACATTTCAATTGGGGATTACGGTTTAAATGATTCTTTAAGGTATGGACAACCTACCAAGACTTTATTACTGCCCACTTTCTCTCGTATGTACCGTATGCACTCCTCCTTCCTGCTGCCCATTGTGAAGTTTGGCGTTAGTTCGCAGATTTCATAGAGGAAATTTGATAGCATCTGTTTGCCATTGATGGTTAGATCCACCTCTGGATGGAACTGGACTCCATAGATGCGCAACACCTCGCTGTAGATGGCCGTGACGATGCGGTTCGTTGACCAACCCCCCACCTTTAGCTTCTCGCCCACTCGCTCCACGCTGTCCCCGTGGGTGAGCAGTACGGACTGTGTGCGACTGAGGCGGCTGTAAGAAAACGGATATCCACATTAATAAAAGAAACAAAATCTACAGTAAATGGTAGTTATTGTTAGGCCACGTGTAGATCAGTTTATAGACTGCTCTAAACTGAACTGTTCTTGGCTTAAAAGATTATTCTGGCAGCATTGTATCAGCATTCAATTAAGCTTAATCGATTTGAACACTTTCTTTTTGCTGCCATCGGATTGGGAGTTTCTCTAGGCTTTCGCTCACCTGAACAGCGGGCACGAGGTCTCAATCTCAATGTTCTGTTGGCCATCTTCCCGGACGTCCGTCTTGAGAACGCTGCCGCCAAACTCTTTGTTGATTAGCTGCATGCCATAGCAAATTCCGAGCATGGGAATTTTCAGCTTAAACAGATCCGGATCGTACGTGGGCGCATCCTCGGCATACACGGAATTGGGACCGCCGGATATGATGATGCCCCGATAGCCATTATTCCGTATCGTTGCCGCTGGTGTATCTAGGGGCAGTATATCCGACTCCACGAGCAGTTCCCGCACCTTGCGATCGATAACCTGTAAAGCAACAAGAAATATTTTGAGTACGGAAGGTGGAACAAAGCAATGTCTTGACTCTTACCTTGCCGTACTGTGCTCCCGCATCTAGTATAACAATCTTATCGTGCCGCAGGCCGTTCTCCGCTGTGCCCAGAAATATGCCTGAATTCATTTCTTTATCGTTGCAGCACTGTAAAATGGAAAAGAGGATTGGAAGAAGTGTTCGATGTGATTATCAGATCTCGACTATCACTGGGTTAGCATTGCCCTGGGCACTTTATATGCACCAGATCTGAGGCTGTAATCGAAGCAGAGGCTACAAGGTTGCAAGCGGGCTGGGAGTTGGGGCTAGGGGCTAGAAGAGACGCTCACATACCGGTAATAGCTTGTGGAGCACTCGTAGAAACATTCAACATGCAGAAAGCCAGGGCAGACGCGACGCAGTGCATCCAACAGAGAGAAGGGAGAGACTCGACACAGACACGACACAATTCTACGATAGACAACAAACATTTCCATTCATTTTCTACCATCAGAGGCAGGGCCAGCCCGGTTTATGGAAAAGTGAAAAGTGCACAGAATTTATGAGTGGGGCATCGAGTGGACGGGTGCAGTGCAGTGCAGTGCGGAGTATGGTGTGTGGAGTGTCGAGTGGAAACTCCAAGGCAGAAAACAAACAAAGCAAGAGGCGTCGCTAGTCTACTAAATGATTTTCACTCCTCCAGCAGCTGGTGATGGGGCAGTGGCGGATATGGATGACACGGCAATCTGATTATATATATATATATCTTTTTGTTCCTATGTTTCAAATAAAAACTTATACACTGGCCCCCAGCAGCAGGAGGAGCAGGAAGCGAGGAGGGGGTGGCCCGCCTGCTGACCGCGACAGATGACATGCAGAACGCAAAAATGCCGAAAGAGCGTAATAGAGGAAGAGCAAGAGTGAGCGAGTGAGTGAGCACTAGAGAGAGAGAGGAAACTGGGTTGACAGGGGCGAGGTAGAACGAAAAACAGGGAGTGGGGCAATATGCCGATGAATGGCAAGAGCAAAAGAAAATATGCGCAGGGAAAATGTGTGTGCAAAAAAATGTGAAAAAGCGAAACTGCAATCATCGCCAATCGAAAATCTTTTGATTTTTTTTTTTTGTTATTATTCTCTGGCAACTCTGCGTCTTTAGCCCTGTCCCCATCCCCCCTACCAAACTATACTCCTTGGGGCCAAAGGTGGTGCAGCATTAGGTCACTTGGTTGCGGCTGCGGCTGCTGCTGCTACTGCTGTGATGTAAGCCGAGTGCTGCTGTTCTTCTCCAGAGACAGAGACAAAGCTCTCGCTGGAATACATTTGATAAGGCCAACATGCAAAAGGTTATCAAGAAGCAGCAGCAACAACAACAACCTCGTGGCTGAATTGTAACTTAATATAATGCACAGGCCCTCACTCACAGACACATGCTCACGCGCAAGCACACACAAGCACACGTGAGGTATGGAGACGACACACACGGCAGAGGTAGGCCCGCCACCGCCTGAAGCGGCGCTTATAACCACAAAATGGCCACGAGAAAGATGTTTGCAAATAAATCTGCTTGAAAATGGGCAATGTAATAGCATGGCCTGGCTTGGCGATGTGGTTAAAGCGGAGATTGCACATGCACTGGAGGAGAGAGGTGTGGTGTGGGCAATGGGCGTCGTGTAGGTGGTGGGACCAAAAGCAAATGCTGCGCCGCATGGTAATAATTGAAGGTGCGCTCGGTGGAGTGTGACAAAAGCGGTAGATGGGGACAGGGCTGGGATCCTTACCTGCTCAATGTCGTCGTCGCAGAGTCGTGGCCCAGGAAGTCACTAATGATCAGGTGGGGTGGGGGAAATTAGTGGAAAACTTTATTCCTAAACACTAGGTGAGAGATCCGTTGTTAGCGGTCCCCTGTTTTTTTTCATGCACTCTTTTTGTACTTTTTCTCTTTTCTGGACAGCGTTCGCGCCGCAAATGTACTTTAAACGATTCTCACAGGCTCGGGCCCTTTGACGGCAACGATTTCGGGCCGCTTTTGCTTGTGTTTTTTGCAATTTTCGCAATTTTTTTTCGTGATTTCACGCCGAAAGATGACTTATTTGACGAGCAGTATGACCGGATCTTGAGTGCAAAAATATACCTGGATTTTCGCAAATATTCACACCAAACGTACTGATTTGCCCTATTAAATTAAGTTACAGTAAAAATAACGTTAAATTTTGTGTGTGCTCCATATATGAAAACGAATTATTGTGTTTATTACGGAAAGGAATCAAATTTTGTTTAAAATCTAGTAGTAAAAAAACAACTGCATCTGCATCGTGACAGCTGTACTGACACAGTATTTTTTTTTGGTATTTCAGCGTGAGCGTGTTGCAGCCACACTTAGCCCGCCAAAAGTGTTTAGTTTGCGCTCGTTTTGGAATTTTTCAGAAAGTTTTTATAAATAACGTGATTGCATAGTAGGCAGACCAAATCAAATGAGTCCAGCAAATGTATCAAAGCCAGACCTTAGCATCGATGAGGAAGACGAGATATTGGCACTGGAAAAACTGCTGGGCGAGGCGGAAAACGATAATGCAGAGACAGCACCAACACCAGCAGCAAAATCGGTAGCTGCCGCACCACGGCTGCGGGAAGACAGCAGTTTCGCCAATGCGTTCAGCTTTGAGAAGACCGTGAAGCCCGCCGCAAAATCAACGGCAGATGACAAGGCCACGCCCAAAGAGCCGGAGCTCGATTCATCCGATGACGAGGAAGTGAAGAACTTCTTAGAAAGGAAGTACAACGAATATGGCACTGATATCAACAAGACGCTCAAACAGCAGCGGGAAAGCGCCCACGAGTCGAAGGTGGCGCGGGAGGTGGATCAAGACATCAAGACCACCAAGTTTATTAGCTCAACGCCGCAGCCGCTCAAGAATCCACACAATCCCATAAAGCGGCAGGGCCCGGCGAGCAGTACATTTCAAAGGCCAGTGTCAGCAGCCGCCTCCAATCCCTCCACTCCACAGCAACCAGTCTCGGCGGTCTATACGGATCCCGTGTTCGGATTGCGGATGATCAATCCGCTGATCTCCAGCACATTGCTGCAGGAGCGCATGGGGGGACGTAAGGCTGTGCCATTCTCGGGCGTGGCATATCACATAGAGCAGGGCGATCTGGCCAAGGATTGGGTCTTGGCTGGCGCCTTGGTCTCGAAGCAGCCTGTGAAGAACACGAAGAAAGGTGATCCATACTCCACTTGGAAGCTGTCGGACCTGCGCGGCGAGGTCAAGACGGTTTCCATATTTCTCTTCAAGGAGGCCCACAAGACGCTGTGGAAAACTGCCGAGGGCATGTGCCTGGCTGTGCTCAATCCAACCATATTTGAAAGGCGGGCAGGCAGTAGCGATGTGGCCTGCCTCTCCATCGACTCGTCGCACAAGGTTATGATCCTTGGTCAGTCCAAGGATCTGGGCACCTGTCGGGCAAACAAGAAGAACGGAGACAAGTGCACAGCCATTGTCAATCTGTCCGAATGCGATTATTGTGTGTTCCACGTGAAGGCTGAATATGGAAAGATGTCCAGGCGCTCGGAATTGCAATCGGCCACCGCGGGACGTGGTCTAAACGAGCTGCGCAACAAAGTGCTGGGTAAGTAGCAAGTGCAGCTGCCATTGTCAATACTTGGACTGTTCTAATCCATTCATGCCTTCCTAGGCAAAACGGAGGTCTTCTATGGAGGACAATCGTTCACGGCCGTTCCGGCCAAGAAAAGCTCAAAGCTTATCGCTAAGGAACGCGATCGTCTGAGCAAGCTGGCTGGCTATGATGTTTCGCCTTTTGCCCACACCGTTGACCATGTCGCGAAGCCTCGGACCGACACACCACAGAATGTGCCGTACGCAGAACGAGGTGGTCCCGTATCCAGGATGGCCGGGGGTGTTGAGGCTTCTTCAAAGCAAAGGCTTCAAGATCTCGAGCGAGTGCGTCTGTTGAAAGCTGAAAACGATCGATTCGAGAAGGAGTCCAAAGGCAATGTCCTCGGTGGAGTCGCCCCGGGCACACCCACAGCTAAAGCTACACCAACCCCCGGGACACCAACTACCCCCAGCAGCGTGCCGGACAAGTTCAAGAATCGCGGATTCTCCTTTGATGCCAACTTGACGCCCAAACTTTCTGGCAGCGAGAATTTCAGCCTTGAGGTCAACATCGGTGCTCGACAAGCGGCGAGCGCAAAGCTGAGAGCGGCTGCCCTGCTGAAAAAGAAGCCGCTGGAGAAAGTCAATCCAAACTCCACTCGCGGCTCAGAGACGGGCAAGCGGCGAGCCATCGATGACCTAAACGAAAAGTTTTCCACCAGCGCCAAGAGGCAAAAGATCGACGAGGACGAGCGCGAGCTGATGCGCAAGTCGCGTATCGAGCGGATAATGGCGGCCACGTCGTCGCATACGAATCTGGTGGAGATGCGTGAGCGCGAGGCCCAGGAGGAATACTTCAACAAGCTCGAACGCAAGGAGGCCATGGAAGAGAAAATGCTAGGTACCTTCAAAATGCCCTGCAAGGCGGTCATCTGCCAGCAGTGCAAGTACACCGCCTTCTCGGCGGCCGATCGCTGTAAGCAGGAGAGGCATCCCCTGAAGGTAGTCGATGCCGAGAAGCGATTCTTTCAATGTAAGGATTGCGGCAATCGCACCACCACCGTCTTTAAGTTGCCTAAGCAGAGCTGCAAAAGCTGCAAGGGTTCGCGCTGGGAGCGGGCGGCAATGATACGGGAGAAGAAGGTCTGCACTGGCCGGGAGTCCCTCTCGGTGCGTGGCGACGAGGAGACCTTCCTTGGCAGCGTAGCCAGCAGCGCCAGTCTCAATCTCCTGGTACCCGCGGAGGAGTGATAAATATTATGTGAGTTTTGCGCATACGATTTAGTTGTTTTATTTGGAAGTTTTACATAAATATTAGATTAGATTTTATGCAATACGTACAATTATTTACAGTCCCTTAAATGATTCGTAGATAAATAAGTACAAAGGTTTCAATAGCTAAATATTTAAATGCGAATGTGTGAGATTGTTTGGTGGTTTTGGTGCTGGAATATTTGGGCATTCTCTAGCAGTACCAAGCGTACCCTTAATTGGAATAAATTGTATGGTTCTATGATGGTTAATGACCTAAATGAATATAATAATTTTTTAAACATGTGTTATGACACGATTGCTAAGACCCCCCCATTCATAAGCTGAGCTTAAGCTTCAATAAGGGAACTCTTTGAATAACTTGACCATGAAAATGGATCAAATGTAAATTAATATTTTAAAGCAGCGATGGAGCACACTTTTTAAATCTGGGAGCAATCTAGCACAAACAGCAAAAATTCTCTTAAGCACACAGTTTGTACATATTTTGTTTTTGGATTCTCGGTCTCAGTTTCGTTAGCGCACATGCATGTATTTTGTTTTTGCATTCTCAAGCATTCCCTTGCATTCTTCCTTATTTGTTTGAGCTCTCGAAGAATAGACGTGACGTGACCACAGCTGCTTTAAGGACATTTTATATGAAGAAAATTCTTTCTCTTATGTTTGGAATACAAATTCCGTTTGAAGACACTTTTGTATCACTCCCAGAAGAGGTATAATCTTAAGCTCCTTAGCAGATATACAATGGACAATATACTATTATTAAGTTTGTACAAAATGGACTAAAATAGTATCTTAAAACTAATCAAACGCTTTTTTGGTTTGCAGCAAGAAGCGTATGTAGATTTCATTGGCATTGTTTAGGCAGAGATTAAATGATATATTTTTTTGTTCAAGACAGCATAGAGGGTTTTGATTACCCATAATTTGATTAGAGTTTGCCATACAGGTGGAAATACTCTATAGAATTAGGTGATCTTAGGCTGCTCCTTTAAATGCATTGGGGAGTATTCGAAAACGAATTCGATTCCTGTTAAATTTTTACTTTTTTTGGCATCAGAATAAAGCTACGAGACTAAAAGTAAAACTAAAACTATTTAACAAACAATTTGAACTGAAAGACAGGCGCTGATAAGACAAGAAACATATTCAGAACTCATGGGAATGTAAAAGTATACACAGATACGGAGATACGAAAGTTAGACCGGAAGAACTTCCTCTAGACGGCATCCTCAGCCTGCTGTCCTTGGTGGGTCGTCTCCACGCACTCTTTGAGATTTAGCAAGCTGGAGAAACGGAACGAAATCGTCTTGGAGAGATGCTTCTCGAAGTCTCGGTTATCCAGATTGTCTGGTATCAGGCTATGGTTGGTCATGTCCAGATACGATCGTCCCCGCTTTACGGGAACAGCATAGTGGGGCAGCGCGGTGGCTGGGGAACCACCGCTGGTCATGTTGCTGTAGCTTGGTGCACAGCTGGACTTACGTATGTTGAGCGGAAAGCGTAGATCGTTCTCATACCGCAGCACCTGCTCCGTGGTGCTGGTATCGATCAGGGGACGCGGAAGATCATAGCCGGGTGGAGCAGCAGCTGCCGCCTGCATCTCGACCACGGACTGGTCGCGACTATTGGCCAGATCCTGGACATCGTAGGTTATCTTTGGCGGTGACCATAAATGCTGCAGGGAGTCGGGTTCGCCCAGGCCTTCCTCTGGCATCAAGGCTGCCTCGTCGCCGCAGTACATCGGATTGGATACGGCACTCGTTTCCATCTCTATATATTTGGCATTGTTGCCCAGCAATTTCTCAAATTCGGCTGCTAGAAATTTAAAGGAGGGTCGGGCATTGGCCTCATCCGCCCAGCAGGTGCGCAAAATGGAGTACACAGCCTCGGAGCAGTTATCAGGCCGTTCCATGCGATATCCTGTCTTCAGCAGCGACCAGAGATTCTGCGGAGCTATGCCCGGATAGGGAGAGGCACCCAGCGTGATCAGCTCCCAGCAAAGTACGCCAAAGGCCCAAACATCCGATTTGGTGGTGTACACATGATCTGCCAGAGATTCTGGAGCCATCCACTATACAGGGGCGAGGATATTTTCATGATAGGAGATACCATTATTGTTTGAACTCACCTTGACGGGCACTCGATCTCGAGATCGTTTTAAATAGGCATCATCCTCGTAGACATCTCGAGTCAGACCGAAATCCGAGATCTTGCAGATCTTGCCATCAGCCAGGAGCACATTTCGTGCCGCCAAATCCCGGTGAACCAGCTGCAGAATAGAATATAAGTCAAACAGGGTATGATTAAGTAAATAATTGGTACGTTGTGAGCGGCTATACTTTTATATCCGATACTCAGTCAATTGCTAATGCGGAGTGATTTTGTAAGGACAACCAAAGCAGACCGGGATCTCTCTCAATTTTGCTCGCGATATACCGGCTTCCTTCTGGCAGTATCGGGTATACAAATATTCAACTTTTGGAACCTACCTTTAGCTCAGTGAGGTATGCCATCCCTTTGCAGATCTGCCAGGCAAAGGTGAGCACCATCTTGACATTGACGGGTTCCACGCCGTCGCTGAAATCGACTCCAGCGCACTCGATCTTGCGGCTGAGTCGGAGATAGCTCCGCAGCGAGCCATAGCGGGCGTACTCGATGATGAGTAGTGGCGCCTCTGAGGATTGAGTGCAGGCGCCCAGTAGCTTGATGACATTCGGATGGGAGACCTCCTGCAGCAGTTGAAACTCCGAAAGCAGGGCCATGTACTCGACCGAATTGGCGCCCTTCTTGAGCATCTTGACGGCCACCGTGGTGACGCCTGGTAGGCCGGCAATCTCGGTGGCATATCCCTTGAGAACCTGCCCGAACTCACCCTCGCCCAGGACGGTGTCCAGTTCGAGTTGGCCACGCGGAAACTCCCACTTGGTGTCGGCGCTCTCGAACTTAAACCCGCTCTGCAGCGGCATCAGTGGCAGGTCTCCGTCGGCCGACTCGGGCAGACCCTGTTTGGACGATGGCGTCATCGATTGCTTGCCCAGGCGACGTTGGAGCATCTTCCGCTGGGTGAGGAGCAGGCAGAGCAGCAGAAGAACGAACAGCAGTGGGCAACTGATTACGATCAGCATGCAGGATCGATTGCATTCGAATCCAGCCACATTAAGCACCCCCAAGAGCAGAGGATCCTGCAGGGCGTCTGTATCTCTCTGCAGGGGCGTGGCAGCCACTGTGGGTCCCGTCAACTCTGTGTCTGTCTCGTTCTTTCGTTTCCGCGGACGTTTTGCCTTGGGCTCATCATCCATCGGGGCACAGGAGCACTTGCCGTTATCCTCGCAGATGCACGTACCCGAGCCACTGAGGATACCCCGCCTGTTCTCATTGCTGGTGTGTGGCCCCACGATCTTGCCCGCGGGAGTGCAGTCTTGCGGACAGGCATACGGATTGAGTTCCTCCAGCGGATCGCACACATGATCGGGACAGTATCGGGCCTGGGGCACACAGGATCCATAGTTTCGCCCGAACATGGCCGAGCTCGAGCCGCGCCACGTGCACGGTCCCCCGTTGGTGGCCAGGCCGCAGAACTTGGTGCACTGCGACTGGTATTTGATCTGGGCACAGGTCTGCGAACGCGACTTGATCTTCAGTTCGCAGCTGGCATTCTCCGGTCTGCCCTCCACCAAATGCACATTGATCACAAACGCATGCGAGAGGCGCTCCTGGTCCAGCCAGGTCACATTCACGAAATATATCGTCTCTGGCGCCTGCTCGAGGGCTGGGGGATGCTTCACATAGACAATACCCGACATGGGGGTGATGCCGAAGGCACCGCTCCGATCCTCGACAATGTCAAAGCGAACGGAACGCGCCCGCATCAGCTCCAGGAAACTCTCCGGCTGTGTCACCCTGTAGAAGGACGCTGCGGATCGATACACAAACACGTCCTTCTCGAAATCGACGCTCACAAGGCCTTGGGATCGGCCGAAACCATCCGTGTGCAACGTTTCGCCGACGCTCTCGAAGATGCGTTGCTGACGCCCGCGCAATGGCAGTGCCTGTGGATGCTCCTGGTCGCTGTTGTGCAGTTGTGTGAGATCCACATGCAGACAGATGTGAGCCGAGGCCGACATGGCTACATTCTCCATTTTGATGGTCACATCTCTGGCCTCCAGTACGCAGCAGTAGGGCGTCTGCCGCAGGACCCCACCACGCGAAAAGCGGAGCTCTGCAAGGAGCAATCGGAAATTCTATATCGGTTATATCGGTCTGTATCCGCCTCTACTTACGGCAGCTGACAATGGTGTGCGGCCTGCCCGTGTGATCCGCCTCGTAGGCATGACAGTCCGGCCGGAGCAGGTCGTTGGTGTCGTTGTGTATCGCATAGCCCAGATTCTGATTGGCCGCCAGCGTGTCCTTGTCCACGTAGATGATTTTCTCGCCCACCGCCTCGTTCTGTTGGGGAAAAGGGAGCTTCGTTAGCGCTTGCTTCATTAGCATTTACTGACCAACGCTAATTAAATTCCACTTGACAAATTGCAGCGCTCTGCAGCCCTCCAAGGATATGCTCTTGGTGATTATCCTGCATTTTAATTTGTGCCCAAGGTCAGGCAAGGGTTTCTGGGACCTTGGGGATCTGACAATCCTGCTGCGTGGTTCCCTGCCCTGTCCACATAAATGGGTCTCAAGGGGTCTCAGCACATTAGCAAGGTGCTTGCAATGGGGTTAGGCGTACGGTCGAATGGCGGTTTATTAGGATAGGATGTTAGGATGTATGGGAATTACATGTATTTGAATTGTAATAATAAGGGAGCTCTTGGTTGGGTTGGGTTTTGGTATGTGGGAAGAAGAAGGCGGAACTCTCACCTAAGCTGAAGAGGAGTGACTCTGACCCTAAGGCAATCCATCACCTACTACATCCCGCCAATGCTATAAAGTGCATTAATTAGGATTGTCTCTCAGATGATATCATAAACTGAGCTAATTTCAAGCTTCAGTGTATGAGAATTGAGGCTTCTAAGTCCATTTACTAAAACAAATATTAGTTAAATGGATTCGATATTAATAATGCGAACGGAAATGATATGTTAGACTCCCTCCTATAGTATGTTCTAAGGTGAGAGAGAGTTGTGGAGGTAGTAAATACTCTCGAATACTTTTTGTAACGATTCTAATAAATTAATTCCATTTACAGTGATACCTTTCACTGGCAGACTTTCAAACAGACAGATTCTTAGAAGCAACACCTTCCGTGGAAACCAATTTTACAGAGATTTTTCAACTTTGTGCACTCTGTATTCTTGTGCCTAATGCATCTACTAGTAGGAAGCCTTCCTATAACCCAGAGCTCTTTTTGTGGCCAATCCAGGCGACACACATATAAAGCCTCGGGCCACACCTCACACAACACACATCAGTTTTATTCCCGTGCATTGTAGGACATGTCGCCAGCAATTTCCTCGAAATAAAATAAAATGTCTATTATTTTGTGGACATAATTTAAATGAAAAGCACCACACAGCACCTAAGGCAATTTGTAATGGCTAAAACTTTAGTGCAGAGCCAATTACTCGAGCAGGAGCAGCCGGCACTATCAGCAGCAGAACCTGACACACTTTGCAGCAGATCCTTGGGGATAGGCTTGGCTCCGTTCGTACATGACAACATAATTTACTGCGGCTATGGCAAAGTTCT